CTATATACACTTAGAAAGCTGCCTGCCCTTCTTTTGCTCTTTTTACTCGCATAAGTTATTTTTACCTTTTTACTTGCAAAAAAAGATAACAAAAAAATTCAAAAAAAAAAAAAAAATTACGAAAAAGGAACGCAAAAATGAAACCGAAAATTTTTCGAAGAGCAACACCAAGCAACAGCGTAAAACTAAAAATAGTCGGGAAAGAATATTTTAAATATAAAAATTTGAAAAGAAGATTATTCCAACATTTACAAGGTACAAGTATGTGTATGTACATATGTAGGTAGGTATGTATATGTAGTTGTATCGGGGAAAATACACGAACAAACAGACATAAGGAAGGAAGTATGTTTGTGTGGGTGTGCGGGTGTACGGGTGCCCTCCAAGCACTTTAAAATATATTTAAGTAGGTATGCACATATGTACATACATATGTATATGCATTTGGGAATACAAATGGGTGCTTTATAACCGCTGTAGCGAAATTCGGCCAAGCTTCTTCTCCAAATTCAGGTATGCGTCTTGATGATTTCTCGACTAAATGGAGCGACCCACAGTTTATTCGAAACCGCCTTGGAAAGGATCGATTTCTATGAGAATCTTATTTCATGTGAGAAATACACTCGGTGGAGTAGACACTTTCTGCGAAGGTGCGACCGCCATTAGAAAAATTATAATTATATTTTTTTAATTTTGTAAATAAATTTTTTTATAATTTTGGATTTTGGCCGGAAGGCAACGCGAACCTTCCGCATGGTAGCACATACTGCTAACCACTTGCGGCCGTCAGTATATACATGCGTACGTACATATTTATATGTAAATATGCATACACATGGAGACAGTTAGCGATCGCGTGCAAATAAATTTTACGAAAAAAATGCCAAAAAATTAAAAAAAAACAACAACAATTATTAAAAATGTTGCTAAAAAAATAAAAACTATTAATAATACAAGACTATCATAAAAGCCACAACAACAGCAACAAAAACAAAAGCACTGACAGCGTTAGCGACGACAACCCAAACATGTTTACATACATACAAACATATGTATATTGATGTAGCTTAACTTAATTCAAAATAACAACAACACAAATATACACTTACATATGCACATAAAATACTATATAATACATCTATACATACCCGTACATACATACATACATACATACATACATATCATATGTATGTCTCGCACTCTTTTGGGTCGTAAAGTTGACCTTCAAACAGCAACATTTGCCGAAAACAAAAATTCGCAAACAAAGTGTTTTTTTTTACTTTTTTCCTTTTATGCTTTTTGCGTGCTTTTTTTTATTATACATATGTGTATGTATGTATATATATAATATTATATTTTCGCTTTCTGGGCTTGCCTTTTAGTTGTGCTTTTGCAGTAGCGGCGATCGCAGTTGTGTTTATTATTATTTTTGTTTTTTTGTTGTACAACATTGTAGCGGGCTTCGCCCAGTTTGGACGTTTTCATTTCATTTCATTTCATTTTTATTTAGTTGTACATTTTGCACGATCGCTTGATTGCTCTTTTTTTGCTTCTTTTTTTTATTATATACTTTTATATTTTTTGTTCCTTCATGTTGTTGTTCTTTTTTTATTTTTTTTTTATTAAGTAGTTCTCAGCAAACATTTCGTTTGTCAAATTTGCAGGCAAAATATTAAAAAAAAATAAAAAAAAAAAACAACAACAACAACATGCTTCTTGTTTTACTGCCCTGCACTGGCTTCCTTATAATGCACACACATACACATCTACCTTTGCATGCATACTTGCCTTCAAAAGTCTTGCCATATTTTTTGTGCACAGCTGCTTTTGTGAATAACGATCGCGCCACGCATCTAATACGATCACATTGTGTTTGTTGCTTTTTTTTTGTGTGCTTCCTTCATGTATTTGAGTTGGGTTTTCGCTGTAAGGAGCGTCTTTTTATGTTGATTTTTTTCTGTCAAACTTCTGAAATAGCAACTGCAATAAAATGATCTAATATTCAGAAATGCTCTGAATGAGTACTCAAAGCGTGTAGCAGGGGGGAGAGACACACAGAGTGAGAGAGAGAGGGAGAGATTTAAGTACTTAATGATCGTAGAAGTGACGATCTGTGCGAACGTTTTGCTCAGTATTATTAATAAAATTTAATTCAATGGATTGACTAATAAAGTGTTAGAGTTTATGTATATAAAGTAGACGGATATATTATGCATTCTTTTACCGATCTTCACAAACTAAATTCATTATTAAGCCAAAATTCTTCAGCTCCGTTTAGGCTTAAATTAAAGCTTGACTTGCCACAAGTAAATATTAACAAATAAATTAAAATAGAATTAATAATAATAATAATAATAATAAAAATAAAAAAATGGGCTTTTAACTTATATATGAATCATAATTTTTACCGTGTCGCAATTGTGATCTCCAATGCCAAAGATCATTTCTCACTTGGTCTATGAGATTATTATTAAAAAGTAATCCATTATTCTTGCATTAAATTGAAATATTTACTTACCATAATTAGAATTATACGATATATGTCACATATGCATCGTTTTTCTTGATAACTTTTAGCCATTTTGAGGCTAATGTCATTATGCCTTTCTCATAGAAACCCTTGTCCCCATTGACAAAGAGTTGGGGCAATCGAATTTCGCAACCTTCTCTTGAGGCCCATTCTTCACCAGCCAAATCATTTGCCATAGACCGGAGCGAGTCACTATCTTTGTGTGTAGTCCGGACGCCTTGCACAAACGACACAATAGTCTGAAGGAAGATCAGACGGTCCAGCTGCTGATGGTACAAATCCGAATTAAGATTAAGGGAGCAGTTCATAGTGGACTACTCATTTCCAAACATACAAACGCTCAACAAAACATTTTGGTTTCAAATTTGGTTTCTCTCCTTCTGAGCTCGTTTGGAGTCCATAAAATTCTAAATTAAAAGAAGATATTTTCAAATATCAAGCATGGGCTAGAACTTTTTTACTATAGCCCCATAAATTTTTTACAACAAATCTTAATACATAAAACTCCATATAAGCATCTGAACCGATTTTGATGAAATAATTATGTGTGTTCAAGTAAATGCGGGAATAGTTTCCACATTTTCTCAGGGAAGTGTTCTAAAGTCGGACATATAACGCCAACGCTCCTATTTTCAACCGGAAAGTAGACCAGGGAATATATGGCTCGATTTAATTGAAATTTCAGAAAGTGGACCAGATACCAATCTATTTAAACAAAATTATATCTTTTTCGAATTGATTAAATTTTTTCCCGATGGTATTCTCTAAATAGGCATACGGAAAGTATTTGGTCGCCGGAAATGAACCAGAGCCCAGAGACTAAGGTCCAAGTATAGTTCGCGTGTAGCTTTTTGCCTCTGTTAAAAAATAGATTACTTTCTTCTCCTTTACGCTATTAATTACTCTATCTAAATTGAAAACAAAATATAGAAATCCAGGACAACGTGTCCTAAACTTCTGGAAGATTTTATAAATCGATAAATCATTTAATATATTTTATTTTGCAACTGTTTTTTTTTTTACTGTAACAGCCCAAACAAGTATTCAATTGCTTAAAAGTGGAATAATTAATAAATTTCGTAAATAAAATTATCATTATATTATATAATTTTAAAGAAATATGAAATTCTCTTTAGTGTAAGTAAATTCAAGCATTCTTTTTTGTTAAAAGATTTAAAAATCTAGCCTGTTTTTTCAGAAGTGAGCTGTTGATTATTTTTATTATATTTTTAAAATTCTTTGATCATTGAAATAAAAGTAAAAGTAAAAATATTTGCAATAAAATATTTTTCCTATATATTTTTTCAATGAATTATTGGCAATAAAATTTCAAAAAATATTTAACAATACCTTTAACCGACTGATCTAGACACTGTAGTAAAGCGTTAGCCCAGCAGTCAACCGAACGCGCTGCTGACGCACACAAAACGCATACACTTGAACTCAAAGCCAAGCGCACAAGCCTACGTCATCTTATTGCCAATTTTTTTGGCAAAGCCCCCAATATCGCAGGCGTATTTGTCCATACGTACATCTATATGTATGTGCATATGCATGAGCGCTGCCGCAGATGGGCTCACACCAACACCACTCACTGCTTGACGCCAACCTAAGCATTTGAAAAGCGCGCAGCGTTGTCTGCGTACGCGTTGACGTCTAAACAAAATGTTAGCAGCGGCGTTGCCGTCGCCGCGCTGTCAACGCCTTGCGCGCGCTATGCGCTGTTGGTGTCGCTGTCGCGCGCTATCGATCGTTGATCGTCGATAGTTTGTTTGCAGAATTTTCGCTTTCGCATATTCTGTCCCCACACAATGTTAATTGCTGCCGTAGCTCTGCGCTTGAGACGTAAGCTGTAAATACAGGCATACTTGTTAGCTTGATGTGTGTGCGGGCGCGCTTGAGTGCTGGTTGATATGTATGTACATATGTAGGTAGCCGCTGCTGTTGTCGCTCCTCCATAGCGCCCACTGCGTTGATCGCAATTTGGCTTTTTTATGTGCTTTTTATTACTATTTTATTTTTATTTTTAATTTTTTTTTTATGCTTATTTATATGTGTTTTTTCGGTGTTTTAGGTTTTGGATTTGGTGCGCTGCGTTGTAGTGTAGTGCTTTTGGCAATATGTGCGTGTGTGTTTGTGTGCACATTTTCTGCGATCGGTATCAAGGTTTTTGGCAATTCAGTTCGCAGTTACGACTTTAGTCGCTTGGTAGGTTGTGCTGTGCCGTGTTGTCTGTCAGTCGGTATCATCGCTGTCATTGTCGTTGGCTTTGTAATTGACGCGAAAAGAATATATGCAAAATATTGAACATATGTACATACATATTGTGGCTAATGAAGCGAGGATTTAATATTGTTTAGAACAAAAAAAAAAAAAAGAATTGTAAATAACCTCAAAAAATTCAAAAATCCCAAAAATTTGTTTAATTTGCTATGTGAATTTTTAAATACATACAATACAAATAAATTTTTAAATTCTTTTTGGTTTAATAAGTGGAAAATTGTACCAAAAAGTCTTTTTGTGGCATGATTTTATGCTTTACCAAAAAATTTTGCCAACTTCCTATAAAAAAACAAAAATGTTAACTGAATACAAGTGTGACAAAATCCTCTGCCAGGCGCTGCGCTGATCAGCGCTCATGTTTATATTATATCTGTGTCTCTCTAACCGCTGGGATAATATCGTTAACTGTTGTACAAGTTTTCGCGCTGTTAAAACAAAAAAAAAAAAATCAACCGACGCGCGTTGCATTTTGAACTGATCAATTCGAATTTAAATTCGTTTTCAATTGCCTCTTCTTCTCCTTTACGCTTTTATCTACATAACAACTACTGTTTAAGTGTGCGTGGATGTGTCTTTGGCAATGTTTTTTTTATATAAATATTCGAAATCAATACATATGTACATACATAAGGGTGCCAAATACTTGTTCTTCTATGTGCGGCTATTTAGCCTGCGATCTTCACTGCTCCCCTCTAATGGTGTGTGTGTGCATGTGTGTGTATTTGCTGTTGTTGTGTTACGTTGCCATTACTATTCGCCATTTTTTTTTTATGTTTATTCTTGGTGCTGTGTGACTAGATTGCTCTCGTATTAGTTCGAGAGGAGCACCCCAGCACCCGTAAGCAACTATAGCGAGTTAGCATACGTGTATGTGTGTGTAGTTGTAGTAGTACAAGCAATGGCTGTGGTAGTGCTGGTGATCGTGGTCTCTTAACCCACAAACCGAAATCGAGACATTGGAGATTGTGCCATTCGCGAACTTTAGTAGTTACATTAATGTTTTGCATTTAGCGGCGCGCGGCAAATACGGCGGTAAACGGTAAAAGCAACGGCAACGAACGCAACAACAACAGGCCATAGAACGGATACGGATGCGGATGTGGTTGCGTATTTATAGAGTTCTACATATGTATATATAATTACAAGAACACACACCATTACATACTGAATTACAAGCGCTTAAGACTTAAATGAGTGATAAAAATGTATGGCTGAATCGAAGAATATGTGGAAAATATGTATAAATAATGTATTTTATGGGAATTGCATTTAAAGTGAAAAAATAATAGATAAAAAACATAAAAATGCGGTATACAAAGAAATTTTTATAATAATAAAAAAATATATATAAATACTTTAGTGAGCAAAAAAAAAAAACGATTCGATAAACCTAAAATTGGAATATCAATAAAAAAAATTAAAACCAAAAACACCGAAATAATTTTAAAGAAACCTACAGTGACTGCACCAAAACTAAAAAATTATTGAAAAATATGTTTTTAATGAATAAAAAAATACTAAATAAGTTTTTGAAAACAAAAAAAGCAAACAATGTGTTAAAGTATATATTTTTGAGTTTGTGAAATACCAACAAAAAAATTTGAATAAACATTAATTTCATAAATATTTCAAATAGGATCAAAAATTAAATTAAATAAGAATAAAAGTTAAATATTGCCAATGACAATTAAGTAAAAATAAATATTAAAAGAAATATAAAAATAATAGAAAATAAAAATAAAATAAAATAATAAAAATTAAATATAGTATTAAAAAATAAAGTTAATTAAAGTAATAAAAATGAACATTAAATAAAAAATATAAAATAAACTTAAAAAAATTAAAAATAAAATTAAATAACTGAAAGAAAAATGGAACAAAATAATAAAGAAAAGTTAAATCAAACAATAAAACTTTAAATAGAGTAAAAAATAAAAATATAAAATAAAATAATAAGAATAAAAATTAAATCCAACAATAAGGAATGAAAATTAAATTAAACAATGATAAAAATAAAAAAATAATTAATATAATAAAAATAAAATAATAATAAAAATAAAAACGTAATAAAATAATAAGAATAAAAACTAAATAAAATAATAAAAATAAAAATTAAATTATGTAATAAAAAAACTTAATAAAATAATGAAAATTAAAACTAAATAAAATAATTAAAATAAAAACTAAATAAAATAATTAAAATAAAAACTAAATAAAATAATAAAATTAAAAATTAAATTATGTAATAAAAAAAATAATAACCTAAGACTAAAAATTAAATCAAATAATAAGAAATGTAAATTAGATTAAAATAATAGAAAACAAAAATAAAATAAAATAATAAAAATAAAAATAAAATAAAATAATAAAAATAAAAATAAAAATAACTAAAATGTAGAATAAGCAATTTTACTTAATTGCGGTATTAAAAAATAAGATTAAGTTAAAATATAAAACAGCAATACCTAAAATAATTTGGTATTGAATTAATAAATATAAGACAATTCTTGAAAAAATAAACGAAAAAAAAATTTATTTCTTTATTTGAAATTAGTTTAAAAGGTTGTGCTAAACTTAAATTTGCTAAATTAAATGTGTCGAAAAAAATAATTCAATTTTTAAGCAAAATTAGCAAAATAATTTCTTTTAAAATATGTATTTATAAAGTGCGCTGTATTTATCAGTAAAAAATACAACATAATATATAAATTTTTTAGTAAAGAAATTATGTGTTAATATTTATCCAACCAAAAAAAAAATCACTAAAAATGCATTTGTTTTTTAAAAATCTGCTTTTCTCAATTCCAGCTTACAGCTGTGCCTTAAAATTTACCTGTAAATATTAAAAAAACAAAACGCTTCTAAAACAAAGCCTTAAATATACAACAACAATAAATAATAATTAAAAAAAAAAAAAAAAACTTTTTTAACCAAAAAAGGGAAAAAATGCGCTACAAATGAACAACAAAAAAAGAAAAAAAATAACAATATGAAATAAAATTGCAAACTTTAAAAATGTATTGGCTTAAGTTATATAATAAACTTACTGTGAAGTTACAGTAAAACTATTGAAGGAGTGTCTTAAAAGCAACAACAAAAACATACAAAAATTTTTGTTTTAATTAAAGCACAAACAACAAAAAGAAATCAAATTCTAAAAAGAAATTATAAATAAGAAAAAAAAACATATCACAAAATCTGAACCTAAAACTACACAAAAATTATAGAAAAATAAACACAATTGGCTTACCGACACTCACCCACACAATTTGGATTAATTTTTCAAAGTAAATTGGCTACATTGGTTTACTTACACATATTTATATATATATATATATATATATATATACACTTTAAGCCCAGTTTAATTAAAAAATCTACACGCTGGCTTACAACAACGACGAACTCGCCGTACAAGAAACCCTCTCACAACTGGATTACTACGCCTATTGGTTGACACACTGTTTGGGAAGGTTAGTACTAAGGAAAAATATCGAAAAACAGATTTTGTGCGATTATATTTTTGCTTATTTTTTATTTTTTTTTTATAATTATGTTTTATGTATTTTTCAACTGATGCAAATGAAACAAACAAAAATGCGCTCAGAAAAATTAGCAAATACGAGCACAACAAAACCACCATGAACTCGTTTACTGCGGATATACATATGTATTCGTATGTATGTACTTGAGTTTTGCATATTTTTTGTTGTTGTTATTGTTGTTGTTGCTGTTTTGTGTGTTGCTACTCAACTTCTCAACAATTTCAATTGATTTAACTATTATACATGTGCAAAAATATTCATGTGTTTATATTGTTGAATAAAATGAAGTTTCTGCTGACCTTCCTTAGGCCATGAAGGTTGTTTGCTTTTTCGGTTAGAGGAGGCGTTTAACATTAGCATGGAGTACTCATCGCCAACATACATACATATGTATTTACATGAGTAGGGCAGACTTTAAAAGTTAAATATTTATCAGAGGGCGCATAAGGTTTTGAAAATTTGTTATTTTAATGTCGGTTTTTTTTTTTTTGGTCAGTGTAATCTATTGATATTTCTGGGAATAAAGTAAAATAAAATAAAATTAAATATAATAAAATAAAAAGATAATTAAATGGTAATAAAATAAAATGAAGCGAAATAAGATACAATAAAATCACTTAAAGCGAAATGAATTAAATAAAATAAATAAAAAAAAATAATAAAAAATTGAGCTGGACCAAAAATAAGTCATATTAAATTAAAATAAATGTAATAAATAAACTAGAACGAAAATATAATAAAATAAAATTAAGCGAAATATACAAAAATAATGCAATAAAGTAACATAAAATAAAATGAAATATTATAAATTATAAAATAATAATAAAAAATAAGAAAATAATAGATATATAAAGATTAAAAAATAATAAGAACATAAAAAAAATTATGCGAAGATAAATAAAATAATAAGAAAATAAAGAAATAAAATTAAATGGAACAAATAAACTCGAAAAGAAATAAATAAAATGATATGAAACAAATAGGGAAATAAGTTACAATAAAATAACATAAAATGATATAAATGAAATAAAATTAATTTAAAAACATAATATAAAAATTAAATAAATTAAAAAAATCATAAAAAAAATAAAGTACAAAATTGAACTGAAACAAAAGCTAATCAAGTTAAATTAAATTATATTGAAAAATGTAATAAATAAACTAGAACAAAAACTAAATAGAAGGAAGCAAAACAAGATACAATAAAATTAAAAAATGAAATAAATTTATTGAAATAAAATAAATTAAAAAATATAATAAAAAGTATAAAAGTAATAATAATAATAAACCAGTAATAAAATCAAAAAATAATAAAGAATAGAAAAAATATAAAAAACCAAAAAAAAAAAAAAAAAAAATAAGAACATAACGAAATAGAATTAAATGAAGCAAATAAACTAAAATAAATCTAAATGATGCGAAATGTAGTAGAATAAATGAAACGTAAATGAAATGAGGTGAAATAAAATGTAAAATAAAACCAAACAGAATAAAATTAAATAAATTAAAATTTTGTAAAATAAAATGCAAAAATTAAAAAAATATATAAATAAAAAAGATGTAAATAAAAATGAAATATATAGAAATAAATAAAATCAAAATAAAAAAAGTAAAATTAAATGAAAACTAATATTTTAATAAAAATAAAATACAATTAAATTAAATTTAAAAAATAAAACTTCAAGAAAATAATTAAATCAAGGCAAAACAAAATAAGTTAAAATAAAACAAAATAAAATATAAGAATGGGCAAAATACTTTTTTGAAGGATTTTCCCCCTTTCATGCGAATAAGCTTTCATGCTGAATTTTGAGATTTTTTCGATCCGCATTTACAACAATAAATATAAAATTCAGATTATGATTAATACCATTAATTAATTTCCCACGTAACAGTTAGCGAATCTAAATTAGGTTATAGGTTTTTTTTTCAAATATTTTCTAGCTAAATATGTAAATTTGAATTAATCCAACCATAGAGAATACAAATTATTTCTGCAGTTATCTCATATGAAAATTCAAAATTTGTCACTTGAGGCTCAAACTCAAACTTAGTTCAATCCACTAGAAAGTTTGGTTCTATTGTAACCAAATTATTACTATTTATTATTTTTTTCTTTTTACATAAATTTAAATTATTTGGGAAATCTTTATTATATATTTGTCAAAAAAAAAAAAAGATTAGATCATTTTCCACAAAGAACTGCTCTGTGTCTATATCAGAACTCATATAAAATTAGTGCCAACCATCAACGAAACCAAGAAAGGTCTTTTGTAAATACTATATAGTATCCGCATTATCTATTTCAATCACTAAGACACCGTGTGGTGGTTGTACCTACATAACTGATGCCGAATGTTAAGGCCGCTCGAAAGAGGTTATCACGCCAGTAAGTGGAAATAAAATTGCTAGAATGATGGTGGACGATCAGTGATTAAAATTGTGTTGTTCTTGTTGTCCTTGTAGCGATTCGTTTAGGTGCAGGCAAAATCAGTCCAGTCATCGACGTCATCGCACGCACGATGCAGAAAACGACGGATTAGATGAGTTGGTTTCAGGGCGCATGGAAAAAGGTCGTTAATGTCGTGCGGAGACTCACACTTTACGCCATTTTACTGGGCACACTCAACAGGAATATGTGGAAATGAATATGTTATTAGCGTGATGAGTGCCGCGATGGTAGACTTTGAAAGAATGGTTGTGCGATGTACAGGCATGATCCGAACGTATTTGTGAGTGGTTTCGATCGTAGCTCTTCAACTCAACCCTTTGTGCGATGTACAGGCATGATCCGAACGAATTTTTGGATGGTTTTGTTATTATTATTGTTCTCAGCAACAAAGTGGGTAAGGATTTGTATAAAATTACAAGCAAATCTTTTATTTTGTAAGTTCGCTGACCTATAAATTTGCGGTTCATTCTTTTAAATCAGAAGTTTTGGCAAAAAAAAGAAAGGACCGTTATATGATAGCTAGACCGATCTTCGGTATCATGCGCCGTAGCTCTGTTTAAAAAATTGCAATAACATTTCTTCACTAGAAAAGCTTAATAGAAAAAATCTAGGGGAAAATATTTTATTTCTATGAAAGCGTTTTATTACAGATAAGTTCATAATACAAAAGGACTAAGATAAAGGGCGCTGATAACATTTTTAAAATATTTTTTTTTTTGCATTTCTTTTCTTCTAAGGCCCGTTACAATGTATGCATTTTGTTGAATTTTTTTATAAAATATTTACTTATTCTACATTAGTATCAAAGCGCTCGTTTAATAACTTGACAAATACTTATAAGTAAGATATAAAGAAACAACAGCAACAAACATTTCGGTCACACAAGTGCGTTGTGCGTCACGATGAGTTGATTTTTTTTTTTTTTTTTTCATTGAATTTTTTGCATTCAATTAGTGATATCTTGCAAACACATAAAATACAAAAAAAAAAAATGCTTAAGTTATTTTAATACACGTGTAATCGCAAGATGACATCAAGCACACACAAACTTTTCAACGATATGTGCTCGCATGTATGCACATATGTATGTGTGTTTGTATGTAATTGTAGTGTCAACGTCAACGAAAGTGTAATTTGTCATTTTGATTACAATTTTTCAGCGAAACTAATTTAATGAGATTAAGTGGTGCTTATTTTTTTTTTTTTTTGGGGGGGAATTAATTTATTTTCATGATCTTTAATCGTAAATATATTAAGTACTTACATTTAGTGGATGGATGTTTAAATCAAAACGGCTAGGAAATTTTTCACATTTTAAATGTTGCTATAAATTTGAAACTAATACAGATATGTTCATATGTATGGGAAAGTAAAAAGTAATCCATTATTTGAGTATAAGATGGCTTTAGTTATCTGTATCTCATGTGCGATAACTGGGAGAGAATTGCGCGAGATGAAGGGTAATATTTTGTACTAAAAAAGGTAACAAGAGAAGTGTTCATCGCTTAACTCGGTGGTGTTTGGACGCATGTCAAAGATAAATACCAGCAAAGCAAAAATACGCTATTTTCTAAAAAACTTTCTTCTATGAAAGCAAGTAGGCAGCTGAATATGTGAATAGTGTTGTTGGTACTGGTACCTGGTACTGTACAATTTTGGTTTCGTTGTTCCACTATGTAGCCTTCCTAACTGTCGAAAATGATAAAAAAAATAATTGAAATCGGCGAGTCTGGGTTTCAGTCAGCCAGTGTTTCTATTGCCCAGGCGTTAAACATTGCACAAAAAAAACAGGCTGAATGCACAAAGAAGCTCGTTGTATAGTTGCCACATGAGTGTAAGAGAAAAACCTTATGTATCGAAATTCCAGCTTCGTGAATCTATGCTGAATCGTAACAAAAATCGCCCCGTTTCTGAAACTGATGGTGAGTGATGAGGAAAATTGGATCTGTAAGTGAAGAACAAACGAAATTGGTCTCCAAGTAGGCATTGACAGTCAAGAAGGTCTCAATGCTGCGTTGGATTAATAAGGAATCATCCACTATGAACCACTCACCCATGGTAGACTCTTAATTTGAACTAGTGCAATATCAATAGTTTCTTTGCTTTTGTGGCACGTGGCGACATCTTGTTGTAAGTAAACGTTGTACCATCCAATTCCGGCTATAAAAAATCATTAATCCATTCGTTTTCGAAAAAGTAAGATCCAATGACCCCGTCGGACCATAGACAGCAGACAATTTCAATAATGAATTTTGGGGTTCCCGTGCCGCAGATGCAACCGTTTTCCTCATTTACATAGCCAACGAGGGGAAAATTGGCCTCATCAGTCAAGATGATTTTTCGATGTATTTTTTTTTTTAGTGAATTTTAATAATTTAAAAGCGTTATTGAACCCTTTACCCTTCCAATATTTATTATTGGCGTACGTTTTACTCGTCAAATTTCAAAAAGTTTCAGCTTCAAAAGAGACATCTAC